TATCTAACCTTATCAAGAGATATATACATATACATCCATAATGATGTATATCAATATGAACCTAATATATCCATATCCCAACACTCCCCCACAAACTCAATATGCTCCATCAAACTCAATATGCTTTGACACAAAGCAGCTCAATTTTGAACAATACTACATTACCAAAAAAAATCACATGTTATCATGGTCTTCCAAAAAACAACCTTTATTGGCTCTCTACTTTCTTTTAGAGATTTTCTCTCGAGTTTGAACAATACTACGTTACCAAAAAAAAATCACATATTATCATGGTAAAAACAACCTTTATTGGCTCTCTACTTTCTTCTAGAGATTTTCTCTCGAGTTTGAACAATACTACATTACCAAAAAAAAATCACATGTTATCATGGTCTTCCAAAAAACAACCTTTATTGGCCCTCTACTTTCTTCTAGAGATTTTCTCTCTATAAGGTCTTCCAAGAAACAACTTTTCTTAGGCACTCTACTTTTTTCTTTGAAAATCTTCTCTAAAGATCTCTCTCTTCAGAGGCTTCTAGGGTTCTTTGAAGATCTCTTTCTTCAGAGGTCTCTTTAGCGGCTTCTCTTAAGATCTCTCTTTTCAAAGGCTTCTAGGCTTCTTTGAAGTTCTCTCTCTTCAGAAGCTAGAGAAGATCGCTCTCTTTAGAGCCTTCTCTAAAGATTTCTCTCTTTAGAGGCTTCTTTTTTTCTAGAGGCTTTATCTTTCTAAAAGAAAAGGATATTTCTTTATCTCTCTTCGGAACATCCGAGATCGAGTAACGAAAAACTCGACGAGCATCACATAGGATAGAGCAACAGAAAACTCCATCATCAAACAAGATCAAGGAACAGAAAACTTGATCATCAGCCAGGATCGAGAAATTCGATCATCTTCATTTCTTCATCTGGAGACGGAACTCTTGATCATCGACTTCGATCTATAAATTTCATCATCTTCATCTTCTCATCTGGAGACTGGAACTCTGGAATCAATATGATCATAACTTCCATTTGCATAGTAGTTGGACTGAGCCAGAATCTGGATTTTCTTTAGTAGTTACTTTAGAGATGTTGACTTCATTTCTACTCATCTCATCTCCATATCTCCTATACTCTCCCCCTCAAGTTGAGTGTGGATGCGAAGAAACAACAACTTGCAAAATTCAAATTTTTTCTTTTTCCCTTTTGAGTACAATCGTATCAAAAAAGATGCCAATGAAATTGGGTTTCTAGAAAAAAGCCCACATCTTAAAAAAAAAAACTATTTAAATCCATATTTAAATGACGATCATCTCGTTCCCCAACAGTTTCATGTGTTAACTCGAAAATCTCTGCAAGACGATGTAGAAGCATGCGGTGGTAAGGATTTATTGGTACGAGTTCCCCAACAGATTCATGTGCTAACTCGAAAATCTCTGCAAGACGATGTAGAAGCATGCGGTGGTAAGGATTTATTGATACGAGCTCCAAGACAACCTCGAAGCATGTATTTCGTTGAAGGAATTTGACTAGGACATTTTCCATTGAAAGAATGAGATGCTTACAAGGTAAGTTATTTTTAATAAGAAAAGTCAATTCTTCCACCATAGCAAATTGATCCATGCCAATGATTTGGAGGTTAAGGGTTGCAGTTGAAATTTGAGAAAAGGAACCCTAGATAATATTCAGCACTCGCTTCACATCGCCATCGTTCACAGGGAACCCTAGAATCATTATCACGTCTCTCTCCCTCTTTTTACCAACTCGATTCTCGGACATCAGGGAAGAATAAAGGTCATGCTACCAACACATCAACAAGGATCGGTGGTTGTAGATGGTTTTGAAATTTCTCAATATTAGATCTGAAACAAGGAGTCTATAGCTCTGATACTATGTTAGATAATTATGGTATGATAACTTGATGACCAAGTAACTTGGTCTCTATCTTCTAGATACCTAACCTTATCAATAGATATATACATATATCACCATAATGATGTATATGGAGATGAGATGAAAACTCTCCGTGGTAGACCAGAGGCTTGGTAGAGGAGCAAATCAGATTTTTCTTCGTTACTATGAAAGTTCCCGATTTTATATTTGAGGTTGGCGAGCTCAAATCTGAGCCGAGGAGCATATATGTTAAAATTTCCCTCTGATACCATGTTAGAATTTGTGAGAGCATATAATGGAAAGAGAAGAAGATAGAACACAGCTTACAATTTGTGAGAGCATATAATGGAAAGATAAGAAGATAGAACACAACTTAGAATTTGTGATAGCATATAATGGAAAGAGAAGAAGATAGAACACAACTTAGAATTTGTGAGAGCATATAATGGAAATAGAAGAAAATAGAACACAACATTTATGAATTTGTGGAGCATAGAATGGAGAGAGAAGAAGATAGAACACAACATTTACGTGGTTCAGGCCAAAGCCTAATGTCCAAGCCAAAGCCTAATGTCCACGGATCTGGCCTGAACCACGGATCCAAAGCCTAACTGGCTACATTTTCATTATTTTGGATGAATGTTTACATCAAGAAGTATGACTACATTTTCATTATTTTGGATGAATGGATGAATGTTTATATCAAGAAGTATGTCTATATATAGAGGACAATCACACAATTATAAAAAATAATTATGGTATGATAACTTGATGATCAAGTAACTTGGTCTCTATCTTCTAGATACTTAACCTTATCAAGAGATATATACATGTACATCCATAATGATGTATATCAATATGAAGCCCATTCTTTCCTCGAATTGATTTTTAGTGAGAACCAAGAGCGACGAGAAAGGAAGGTGAAAGCACACTCGCCGAGTACCACATACATATCCTAAAGCCCTAAGGATTAGAGGAAGCCATATACCCTTCCGTTGACGAATACAATGTTCGCTTCATATCCATCACCATCCACTCCATTGGACGGTGGTGATGGAGTGGATGGTGATGAACATAAAGACAATAATTTCCCATGATCCTTAGGGACATGGTGTAATTCTCATCTGTAACAAAGGTCAATTACGTAATTTATTCTTTCTCCTATGCTACTTGTTTAAAAAAAACGGTTTATAGAAATTGCCCCATCTCCATTATGTAGCATTTTTGTAATTTTCGCATGTAAGAACCTTTATCACTTATAAGTATTTTTTTATAATTTGAAAATATCAAATTCTTTGAGAACTATATTATACCCATTCTTTGATTTTCTATAATTTTTTTTACCAAAAATACCCTTCATGTTCTATTACAATCATGAATTCATGATGGTCCACCATCACGGTACTAATAGTACCGATGTTATTAAATTCGCTTTGTTTCGCCGAAGAGGCCGAAGCCTTCAGATTTTAAGCATAAACCGAAGCGAAAAGAAGCGTGGTGTTGTCATTTCGATCAGATTTGGACCACTTTTGCCAAAGGTCGGCTTGCTTTGGTCGAAGCTTCGGGCTGCTTCAGTCAAAATGAAATACCTATATAAAACTATTTTTTAATTTTAAAAATTAAAAAAATTTATTTTTAAAATTTTCCATTATTTTATATATTATATATATATATTTAATTTATTTATATTAAATTTTTTTAAAAACATCTTAAATCTTCCTCCAAATCAATCAAAGCACCAAAATACTTCATTTTCCTCACCAAAGCGAATCAAATAACATTGAATAGTACCACGACGATTCAACATTATTTTCTAAACCATCACGGTACTAAATAAGAATGTAGTGGTCCCTATGAAAGGCTATGAAATAAGGCGTTAAACCATGATTGTCCAAAGAACCTTGAATCATCATAACACTAATAGGACTGTGATGGTTGTTTAAGGACGTCGAACCGTCACGGTATTATTAGTACCGTGATGATATATAAAATTTTGAGCCCAGAGAGTTAGGCGTTGGAATATCACAATTCTAATAAAACCATAAAAGATAGTTTTGGTAAAAAAAAAAAAGAAGTAAAAAATTAAAGAATAGCGATGTAAATAGATTTCAAAGAATTTGGATATTATTCAAATTTATTAAAAATATATTATTAATAAGAAAAAAATTTATATAAGGTTAAGGCTCTAAACAATCAAATTAAAACACACCTCAAAAATTCACAAGCAGGAACGTCTCGACCTCAAGATGTATAGACGTGAAAAAAATAGATTTCAAGTTTGGGAAATAGTGCATCTTGTAATGTATTATTTAAGTTTTTGAAATTTTAAATTCTATTTAAAAATAAAATTTTATGCCATCACAAAGATTTTTGGTACTAAAAAAATAAATCTTTCAACACTATTTAGAAGCTAGTCTTACTTTAATTATTTAGAGCCTCAACCTTATAAAAAACGCCACCCTATTGATAATTAGATGCGGTTTATGTAGAGCCTAAGCTCTAAATAATCAAAGTAAAGTGCACTTTAAAATAGTGTCTAGAAATATGGTTTCAATACTGAAATCTTTATGATAATCTTAAAGTATATTTTCATCGCTAATTATAAAATTTAAAACTTAAAAAATAGTGTAGATCGAGCATATCTATAACAACTTGAAATTTTTAAAAATTGATGGTCTAAAAATATAACTGCATTATTTTCAAAACTAACTTGAAATCTAGAGGTAGATATGATGAATTTGAGGATATTTGGGCTTCAAAACGACCTGGTTTAGTGAATTTTTGAAATGGAGCCTCAGCATCATATAAACCTTTTCCTTGATAATTACCCTACACTATAAAAACACATCTCACGACGCTTGCTTTCAGAGTTCAGTTAGATGTGGGGCATCACTCAAGCCACTTAAAAACCGCCCCCTTGCTTGTACCGATTATATTTACAGAGAGAGAGAGAGAGAGAGAGAGAGAGAGAGAGAGAGAGAGAGACACACTACACGACTCGTCTTCTCGTCGTCGTCGTCTACTATACTAAGTAAGAGAGAGAGAGAGACGACGACGTCTACTACTACCGTACCGTACC